CTACCAGCTGGGTATGTATTTATTCAGCTTTTAATCCGTCTGTACTTAGCTTTTCACCTGCAGTGCCTTCACCCTTCGCTGATGAGGTGCTAAGTGAAAGCGGCATAGAAGAAGCGAAGTGCACGTGATGGGAAGGGATTAAGAGGCTGCAAGCGTGGATCCACCGAAATGTTGCGTAGCAGAACTCGCAACCTGCAGAGGTAGCAGAGTCGGTGCTCCTTGCGCATGCGATGAATCAACTGTTGAACAATCTGCTGCATTGCAGAATATCAAGCCACAACTTTTGCCACTGGCTTACCATTCCTCATGCCTCAGCTAGCATTTCATCAGTGGGAAGGCAGGTGGACGAATTGCTTCATCAGACGTCAATGCTTGCTTGGTAGTCTGCTTACCAGTCCTTCCCACTTCCTCCTAGTGGGATGCTCTTCTCTATGTCTCAGGCGACATTCCGTGAAATAAAATGCCATTCATGCAAAATGCCTTTTTCGAAATGAAAAGCATGATGTATAGCTGTTGAATTTGGTGAATGTGGAAAGGCTATGAATGTGAGAGAGAGTGACTAGCATTAGGAGGCTCACTGCAATATTTCTCATTTAAAGTGGTAGATTAGAAGAAAAGAAATGAAATATTGCGTGCTCTTATGCAACCATTAGCTTACTTCTCCGTCGACCTAGTTGAATCATCGTCGTGAGGCGCAGAGCTGACAGGGCATTGCACGTGGTGGTCATTGAGTCGACGTGGCGGGGTGAAGATTTCATTGTGTGAAAAATCTGCAAAGTATTGAAATGTATTGTGATTGATGAAATAGTGAGAGAGGTACATCCGCATGGAAAAAAGTGACAAACATCAATATCTACTATCAATCCATCACACTCTATATATCTTACTTTCACCACCGCTCGTTTATCTACCCATCATGTATCCATTCATCCTTCATCCACCCATCCACACATTCAACCACGTATCCCATTTTACTTCCATCCTATATTCATCCGGTATCCGTTTTCCATCATTTCATTCATCCTCCCATCTGTGTATATATCCCCTTTCCCAGCCACCGATGCTCCAATCCTTTCATTCAACACCTTTATAAGGCCTTTTCTTTTCATCTATTCTGTTTGCATTCATCCTGTATCCATCTATCCACCAGCTATCCGTCAAAATATCATTTCATCCATTTGTTCATCTCCCATGCATCCAGATGTCCATCCTCCTCCCAGTCCGACTATCACTATCCATCTATACATCCATCCCTTCATTCATTCACCCCTCCCTCATTTCATTTGACCTTTCATCTCTCCTTACATTTCCTATCCCACCAGGCATCCACTATTCATCCATTCTCTCACTCCTTCCTCCCACTCTGCGTCCATCTAGTCCTCCATGCAACAATCCATCCACCCATACATCTATCCATCAAACACTTTAATTACTCCGATCGTCTTCTTCTACCCCTCCATACCAACTCATCTTTCATCATGCTGCATTGCACTGCATTTGAAATCATT